AACTTATAATATATTAATAATTAGTTACAACAAATATTGTAGTACAATGGGGTTCAAACAATGGTATAGTATTAAATATATTATGTATATACTTTAATACGTATATACGAGTTTAAATGAATTCATTGATTTTTTTATTCGAAAACTTAGTATTCGATTTATTTGTGGAAAATATCAAAAAGGTATTATATGTAGAGCTATTTTTATTTTTTTAGTTTTACGTTTGTAACTTTGCATATTAATAWATAATCATTTAATTAAACAAATGTTTAGGTTAATTCAATGGAAATTATAAAATAATAATTTTTCGCAATGAAGTTTTATTTTAATGAATGGTGTGGTGCATATAAGTTTATAATAATTTTATACCATGAAGTGCCAAATTAATTATTTCTAACCAATTCAAACTATTTTTAAMATACAGTTACAGTAACTTGACGAAAGTTAATTCTCATTGAAATCCTAAAGTTTATAATAATATAAGTTTAAATATTTTATTAAATATGATAAAGATAACGAAAATTACTGTGTCATGTAAATAAAAAAAGTTCTTGTTTGTCTGTTTCGAGCCATTAAATTTTTTAAATATTATGCTAGGTATATAAATATTCAATAATATTTAGATATTGTAATATAATACCTGAGTTTCTAATAATTTATGTAAAACAAAATTGTGATCAAAGTAATTTCTGTAAAAGGTCCCAATGMATTTTTATGAGCAATTATAGTTTGAATTAATATATCAATTATAATATAATTATAATCATTTTAAAAATTTATGCTGATATCATTGCTTACGAATTACATTAAAACTGTAATTATATTAATTAATTATACATTAACAATTTAATTACAGTATCATTAATTTTAAATTATTAACATTGTTGTTTGATTTCTCATTATAAATTAACAAATTCAATCAATATTCCTTACCATAAATTATAAAAACATACTAAATTAACCATTTATTTAAATTATAAATGTTCCGATTTAAACATGGAACAATTAATTTGTTTTTTTTTGAAGACTAGTTTAAAGTATTTTTGTTTACCTTATATTTTAATGTTCTAAGCTTAAAGCATCAATGAATTATGAGATTAACCAAAATAATTATAATATATTTATGTATATTTTTGAATTATGTTATCAATTATCTATATTATTTGCAATCAACTATAAATTAAGAGAGATTTAATTGATTAGGTATGACAAAAAGAAAAAAGAAATAAATCTAAAACATTGAAGTAACATAATTTACAATGATGTGCGTATAGTTTTTTTTTGTCTATCACTGTCTTTTAAAGCGAAAAAATACTTCAATATGTTTTTTTGTCACACCTGCACTGAAAGTTGAGTTTTCAATGGCAGCCGAAGYGTTGGAAACTATCTTTTTCAGTCAAGCTGTTAGTAAAGTGAGAATCCCCAGAAGTGCTGAGCGTATTCCCTGCAAAACCTGCAGATACTGTAATATATACCACGGTCCTTACAAAATTTAAACTTATAGTTACATTTTATATTCATATTATAATCTTGCATGACACATAAACATTTTTCTTTCGTAAAATTGTTTTCGTAGAATAGTCTAATTGTTGCATTGATGTCCTACATACATTTTTCAGTGATCGATGAAAGCARAGGCGTGGCAAAAAATAGTATGTGTGGCTCGTGAGGGAAAACAATCTCGGTCTTGAGCAAAATGCAGCCCTYGCCTACTGCTCGTTCCGCATACGTCGTGTGGGTCGCCTACGACTGAAACAACTCACTTTCCACCCTTGCCATACAATATATTATTCTTGTTTGAAAATGAAGTTGATTTTTTGAGGGATCGAAAGTAAATAATTACCAGTAATTTTCCTAATAACGATAAAAAATTAAAACTAAAAATTAATTTGGAATTTTTGCTTGACCTAAATGATTTTGTTAATTTGTTATTATTGAAAACAATTTACCGTAAATATTTGAAATTTTGATCAAATTTTTAGGTATACATATATTAGCTGTATTGTAAATTTTTCAAAATCTTTTAAGAAATCAAGTCTTTTAAAAAGACATTTGAAATTTACAATATTTTTGGTATGTGTTTTGATTTAAAAAATTGCGCTGGGTTAAAAAGATTGAAAATATAATACAATGTTTGTCATAATTATTTTTATTTAAATTAAAAAAAAAAGTGTATACTTATTAACAATATTTGTTATGAGCGTTTTAAATTCTAATTTTGACAAAATCGGATATTTATACAATAATAAATCAGTTTTTYGCTCGGTCAAAATGTTTTAAACATAATACAGTAAGTTCCTTATAAGTTGTAAGTAAAGAAATATACACCCATTAAAGATGTATCACTATTTATTTTTATAAATATTTAAAGTTCACATTTTGTCGAAATCACGAAAATTTGCAAATACCTKTATTTAATAATTAAACATTAATTATATAAGGTTCAATTTTTATAACTAAAGAAAAAAACTGATACCAAAAATCAATAAAAAATTATAGAAGCATAACTAATCTAATATTTTATGTGAAATGAGTTTAAACTGACCTTAAARTTGAAAGTTTGAATATYAGATGAATATTTATCCACAATAGTTGTTATCTTGTTTTATTAAGAGAATAAATACCTAAGTTAAATAAAACCTTAATAAAATACCTTTATAACATTTATGATTTAAATTTCTTTATTATATATTAACTCGTAAATCATTATCATATTAGATTTACCTATAAGTAAAATAGCAGATAGAAAAATAATTTAATAATTTAGTTATCTTAACGAGTATGAAAAACAAACATGTGTATTTTGTATTCTTGAAGTCAGGTACTCAGGTACACTTTAAATATGGATTAATCAAATATTTTAATAATTTGGAACATGTGGATTTAGAATTAGTCATTAGGTATGTTCCGAATAGCTTTTTGATTGAAATCTGATCTTGAGTGGCTTCTTAATTCTGAATTTACTTATGAATTAGAATTTAAAACCTCAAGCAATGATAATCACATTTCACTCGAGTACCTAACTATTCATATTTCTTACATTTTTAATTTAATATGTATAATGATTTTTGAAAATAAAAATATTTTATTTTAATATTTATATTTTAAATGCAACARTGTTTTAAGTTCGCAGATTTACTAGTTMAAATGAAATCTAATTGTGGAACTACATAATATATGCAGCTAATAGTSTTATTAAAATATAAAAATAATGCCTTAGAAATGTAATTAAAAATGTTTAACTACTGTAATTTGTGTATGATAGAAGGTCCACCGTCTAGTATTAGGTATGTAATAAACACGGATAATGCTTCAGAAATAATAATTTAATATTGTAAAATATGTGTATGTATTCTTACTACTCGTATATTATACAGTATGATGAGAACGTGTTTCACTGTTTTGTTGGAGTGGTAGTATAAGTTATAAGTATATATACGTTTGATCAAAAGAAAAAATTTACAATCTTACGAAATTATATATGGTATTATGTTAATTGTTAATTGATAATTATGCAATAAGTTATCGTTGGTGAAATAAACTTTAAAAAAATTGGCAAAACTTCTCGTAAGTTGAGATTAATAGAAATGTCTATTGACTGAATGTCGTGACTTGTTTGATATAAATTATTAGGACTCTGCATCGTTTTTAAATACGAAATATAAATAATTAATTATAAATAAATAATTTTGGAGGAGAATGCATGAACACATTTTAAGTTTAATATAAGTTATTTAAATTTGATTCATCAGCAATGAAGTATCATRTATAGTATATATGGACAAATAAATGATGTTAAGGGCTTAAGGTTAAGAAGACGTAACACTGGCATTTGTTGTCTCCGTCTTACAAGTCCGTAACATACCAAATTTACGATCCGCAGATCACGTATAGATTTGTAGTAGTTAGTTTAAAAATTAGAGTGGATCGGCCTATTATGAAATATATATATTATATTATATATATCGTTTTTTACGATTATTAAATTTTTTAGCAAATTTTGCCTATATAATAAAATATAAATTAAAAATGCTCATAAATCACTTAAAAAATAAATTATCGTAAAAAATCCATATACAAACACAAACAATGTTATTGCCATCAATTTTCATAATATATTGATTCTTGTAAGACGTGTGGAGACAACAAATGTCGGTATTTTGTTCTCTCAACATGTAATATTGTAACCGACTACCGTCGTTTAGATATGAGACACTATAAGTAATAATTACAACTAAATGAACAATTAAAATAACGAAATTAAAATAATTGGCACGRGATTAATATATAAATATAGATACTTTAATATTATGGGTACTTATAAGTTATAGACAGGTACATCCGATTCAATATAGCTCGCGTCCGTTGGTCCGACGTGATGATCATTGCACGTCGTAGTGCGGGTCACGTGTCTCTTAAATAAGACATACAATTTAGTGGCCAGTGAATTTACACGGGTATTTCATGACATGCACAAACCTAACGGCATTACTGTCGGAAATCAGAATGCACACGTATAATGTTATAATATATAGATGCAAACCCTAGGGCATTTTATGTATAGGTACCTACCTCTTATTGGTTAATACCTAAAGTTATAATGGTCATCGGGTGGTAAATCATTGTGGACATTATGATTGCCGTCTGAAAATTACGTGAAATCCCAAATCGTAGGGAAACTGATCGATATACGCCGTTGGTGTGGGGGCGGGGGGGGGGTTGATTTTCCGTGCCCGTTTGGCGATGAAAATTCGCATCACTTTAATGATGTAGGGCAAGGGACGGCGGCGGTCGGATAATATTTTGGGTTCTGTCTGCTGAGCCGCCGAGGTAACGCCTATAATGTGAAAACTCATCCGACCAATAGCTGTGAATGGTCACACGACCGCCGTCGACCGCAGCCGAGCCGGGTTAAGCCGACGGAATTTTACGCGTGATGCCGCCACCGCCGCCGCCGCCGCCGTTGCCGCCGTCATCGCCGCCGTAGCCACCGTCACCGACACCGCCGCCGCTGCCGGCCAGTGACTCTTACCGGTTTAGTAGCTGCACAGCTGTTTCGTGCGTGTGTTTGTCGATCGCGGAGCTCGAGAATTTTTCCGAATGTTTTGATACACTTCTTAGAATTGATAAATGTCATATTCTAACGTTTTTTTGTTGTTGTGTATTTTGTATACGTTCTCTATCGGTTTACTTTACGGTGGATAAATAGACTTCGAGAGTCTAGTACGATGCGTGTAAAAATAATGTTTAATGTGCGGCTCATTGCCGGATAATGCGCACGTTTTGGAAARTATCGCGCGTTTATACTGATATGGTGRGACAGGYGACTGAAAAAATATGAAAGCTTCGCCGGTAAAAACGGAAGGCGCCGACTACGTGGACAGCGGCAGTGTGGATGCGAACGCGAACGCGATCGGTGATCGTGGTACTGCGGCCCAGGTATGCAACGATGTGATTGTATTATCTTCGGAGTCCGAAGCCGAAGAGGAGGAGGTGCTGGCCCACGGTGAGGAGGAGAAACAGGAGGAGGAGGTGGACGAAGAGGAGGAGAAGGAAGTGATTTGCAGCAGACCACGTAAGTCTAAAAAGAAACATAAGAAACATCACCACGACCACGGGGTCAATCGTAACGGGAAAAAATATAAGAAACGGCCGAAACAAGGGAGTGGTCCAATATTTCTGTGGGCAAAAAAGAAAGAGACGAAAATAATGAAGATATTCTGCGAAGATTACGATCCGGGTATCAAACTAATTAAGACCAACGGTGTGTGGAGTTCTACTCCTAGATCTAAGGTGTTGGCGGCCGTTCAATCGCGTTCGTCCGTCTGCGTAGACGTTTCAGGTGAGTCGCAAAACGACTGCGACGAGTCGATCGAACAGAAAACACTACCGGATGTCCGAATCAAACAAAGCCCAAAAACCGACGAACTCGTCGACCTGAACGACAACTCTATCGATTTTGTGGACACCATATCTAGCGGGGAGGACGACGACGAAGAACAGACCAGAGCCAGAATCGACCGTGCTCTCCAGATGATCGACCAGGACCCGGCACTGATGAACGACGTGAACATTTCGTTGCCAACCAACGAGGCGACTGCTGCCATCAAGTTACCTGAAGGTACGACAATCCACCAGATCAAGATCGAGAACGCCGCGATCAATGGGGCCGTTCCTGTTGCGACGCCGCCGCTGTCATCGCCCAAGACGCCACCGGTGCAGTGCAAGTTGGGCGAGTTGACCATAACAACGCAGCAGCAACAACAAAATGAACCGTTGAACCTGGAAACCGTAAGTAAGCGATCTGCCTTAGAAATACGATTACAGGAGCCACCGCTTAAGAAAAAACGCGTGGACAAACACGCTGCGCAACCACCGTTGGCCGGCGAACAGGTGAAACGCGAATGGGATCCACTGTCCGAACTGAAGGAAGTGCTTTCAGACCCCGGGCTGTGCGTGCCCGACCCGTTACTTGTTCCTAGGGCCAGGCTGGCCGCCCTGGTGGCCAGCCCGGCTACAGAAATCCCGAAGCTTTTACGAGCGCCGTCATTGTTGCCACCACCGCTTTCGGATCCTGACCTGTTGGCCGTTTCGCTGTCACATCTCCGGTCTATGTTGCAGCAGCAACCGGGCTTCGCGGATGAACGCAAGTCGGACAACAATCAACAGTCGAACATCGATCAGATGCTGTGGTTGTCGTACCTGTCGAAAGACATGGCCGGCGTCGACTCCGATTTGATATCTGCGATGTTGAACATCCTACTACCTACTTCTACAACCGCTCAACAACCGTTCAACTACCCTCAAGATAAAAGCCAATGGAACGACATGTATTACGACGGCAATATTGAAGCACCATACGGTTCCACGCCCGGCTATAGCAAATCGGACGAAATTTGTGCGTCTGTGTCGCCACTTCCGCCGCCGCCACCGCCACAGATATTACCACCGCCCCTGCCACAGATATTACCACCGCCACTGCCACAAATATTACCACCGCCACAGCAGTCGCATCCACTGCCATTACCACCGTTGCAGTCACAAATGATACCACCACCTACAGTTGCACAACCTCCACTGTTATCACCGCAACAGCCACAAAAACACCAACAGTCACAACTGCTGCCGCCGCCGCCAAATGTGCAACAGCAAGTACCGCGACTTTTGTCCAAGCGTTCGCAGCAACACAACATGACTTCACAACTACGGTTGCCGTCACATCCACAGCAAATGCCACAGTTGTTGCCGTCACGTCCGCAGCAATTAATGCCGCCACAGCTACAGTCACCGGTCCTACGCCGTCAGTCGAAACGACGGGCTTGTCGAGAGCTGTGCTGCAACGGGTCACCGTCATCGTGTTACGCTGGTAGCTATTGTCCGAAATCGAGTAGTTACAATCCGTTCATCGCAGCATCCCCCAACGGATGCAACCAGTTCGCCGTGTCTCCGGGCGACTGCAATCCGTTCACCGCGACTCCTGCTCCCAGTTGCGGTGTTGGCAATCCAAAGACATGTWGTACTACGTACGGTTCGCCAGGCGGGATGCCAACTTGTTGCTTTCAAACGGAAGCTAGTTGTGGGTACAACGGCCAATCTCCGTCGCCAATGCCGCCGCGGCATACATCCGTCTCGCCTCGCAATCGCGCTCAATACAACTACAAATCCAGTCCGGGGCAACAGCCACAGCAGCAAATGTCGATAACGGAAGGCGGCAGTGTCGTCAACGGCTGTTGCATTGGCGTCACCAGCTGTAGCAGTGGCGTCGCTGGCTGTAACGGTGGCGTCGCTGGCTGTAGTGGTGGTGTCGCTGGCTGTAGTGGTGGTGTCGCTGGCTGTAGCGGTGGCGTCGTCGAGTGTGGCAGTGGCGTCGCTCGCAGCAGCAGTGGTAGAGGTGTCACCAGCAGTAGCAGCGATAGTGGCGTCACCAGCAGTAGCAGTGGTAGTGGCGTCGCTGGTAATAGCAGTGGCTTCAATAGCAGTAGCAGTGTCGTCAACAGCAGTGTCATTGGTGGCAGTGTCAGTGTCAGCGACATCGGCATAGACTATCAACGTTCGACTGCGACCAATAAACCGCAAACGCCTCTGCCGGTGACCTCTACTAGCGGTGACGTCGGTCAGCCGGTGCACAGACCCAAAATCAAAGTCAAGGAGCATTTGATCGACCCGAACGCAAAACCGAGACTTTTGAACATCGAAGGTGCCCTTCATCTGGCGGCAGGACATGATCTGTTCAGTTCGCCTCTTTGGCATCCATTGTTCGGCAGGTGACTATCTTACTATCTTACTTACTAATAATAATAATAATAATAATAATAGTATAATATTATGGTACTGAATTTATCGTGGTATCATAATATCAGGATAAACGTGTAGGTCGTAACAAACCGTAATTCTGTGAATAGTCCCGTTAGCCCAATTTTAACAATAAAACGGTATTTTATAGTACGACTGCGTTTATAAAAACAATTTTGTCAACAAACATTTCCCARGTATAATCGTTATTTTGAACCTTTCTTCATTCTTATTTATTACTGTTTTGTCGTGTTTAAATATAGTATAGATGCATTCCAGCGAAAAAATATATGCTTAAGATCGCTGAAATCTTGTGTTTAAAACTAAATATGAATATTTTAGCAACATTTTTAATAAATTGTAATGTATTATCACTTATCAATCCGAACTTATCTACCTTAATCGTGTAAAATATATAAGATATGTCAACTTATAATAAATATGTTTGAATTTCAAATTAATACAACTTGGCCTTAATTTATTATAGAGTAATAATTTTTAGAGAAAATAATTTTTAAATACATAATTTTACACTCATTATTATTATATCATATAAACAATTACCAACAATATAGGTGCTTATTTTTTATGGATACTTCGAAGATATATTATACTATTATAGTTAGTTATTAATCTTATGATTAATCAATTAAATAAATCAAAATACGTTACGAGAATTTTAACTTAAGAGGACGCTACACCCGTATGTATTGTCTCCGTCTAACAAATGTACAACATAGCAAAAACTGCTTTGCTTGATAATAGGACCACTCAAGTTGTACTAATAGCTAGGACTCCAAATTTATATACGACATAGTTAAGAAAATTATCTATGAAATATAATTTTTAATTTTTTTGATATCACTTATAAGAAAAAGTTATCCAAAAACCTGAATAACTTTTTTGTAGTTCTGATATCGAAAAAATAAAAAATAAATTTCACGGCCGAAATTCCCCTTTTTATGTATGTGGTGGAAATTTCGTTTCTTAGTTATGTCAGTAGCCTTCTCGGTTCTTCCCGCCCAAAATAGTTTTAGCTATGTTTTACATTTATTAAACGAAGACAGCACATGCGGTTATAGCGTCATACTATTTAACAATGAAAACAAAATATTATTAAATATTTTTACAATCAAAAGTTAAATATATTTTTTTTACAATAGATAATATGACTTACCTGGCACTTAACTAAAAATATATTAAAACAATAATTATCTTACAAATTGCCAATTGGAATGATTTACAACAATTGAAATTTGAGACAAAGCCTAGTATATTCAAAATATTACGTGGTGTATGTAAACATATGAAGTTTTATAATTGCTCGGATTTTTAAGGTGAAAACAATTTTTTGCTTCTAATTTTAATACCTATATAATATACATATTTCACATGTTACGTTACAATATATTATTATGAAATTTTCATATTATATATGATAACTCATGTTATATTCGTTATTTATTTTAAATTTTCTTCTTTACATATACTTCCGGCAAAATTATTTGTGTACGAAGCATACAATTTTCAACTTAAGTAAATTATTTATTTATTAAAACAAATTGTTTTATAAATATTACGTTGAAGCAAAAATATGCTTAATTTATATATAGTAGTTTTTTTTATTTATCGAATTGTATTAATAAGACAAGTATCAAACAAAAAATTGTAATTTTAAAATTCAAAATAATAGATAACATTTTTGATTAAAATTCTTTACCTATGTACCTATGCTGCTGGTTTCATTTAATGTGAACGTTATGTCAAAGACAAATTTTAATTTTTGAATGGAATTAAACGTCATATTTTCTATCAAACGACCGTTGGCGTAGTTTCGTTTAATTTGTTTGTTTTCAGTTAAATTCAAAAATATTCATGTATACAAATTTATAGGTGTTCGAATAAATAATATAAAAAATATTTATCAACAATAATAAAATGTTCAATCTTGTATATATTTTAACAATATTATTGTTTTTAAATTAAATATTATAAACTATCATTTGGTTTCTAAAAGATTACCTATACGGTTATACCTACCAATGTTGTTTTATTAAGATAATTTTTCCATAAATAATTGTTAAAACTTTAAAATACTATCCATGGGACTGAAAGTCTAAAAAAATATTTTTACTTTGTTTTTATCAAAGAGTAATTTCATTTTAATTTTAGATAATTATTCAAAACAAAATGAAATATTTTTTATATATCTGGGATAAAACATAAATAATAGATATAAATTATATAATACAGATTTCCTTATAGATGTTATTTTAAGTCGCTAAGATTCTAAATAATTAAAATATAAATGATTATAATATATTAAAATATAAATATTATAATATATTATTCTCAGAACGTATTTTGCTTTTTACATACCACCACATTTAATAACCTAAGACTTGGCGTTATTATACATCAATGTATGAAATATTAAACTGCCATTTAATGAATTCAGTTTATTAAAACTTTATTTATTTGTTTAAAAGTTATTTAGTTAAAATACAAATATTAGAAATATTATTTTATTCAATAATTAATATTATTAAAAATTGAATTATTGTTTGGTTTTGAATTATAGGTACCTACCGGGTATGTATAGTGTAAATACAGTATAGTAAAATATGTGTATCTTTAATTACGTATAAGTACTAACTATAATTTATCGTGCATAATATTGTTTTTTGTATAATAACTGATATAATTTCTGTTTTTAATTTTACACGTCTTAAAATGATTAACATAATATATTACTATGAAAAGTGAAAAGTCTTATAAATTATAATGAATAAGGAATAAGTTACATACCATGTATTTAAACAGGTAATATTTAAAACTTACTTTATAAAATCCTTATTTCAGAATAATTATCTCACTTTAAATTTAAATGCAAACATTTTCAATGTTTTGTGTAAATAAAATGCATTTATATACTGATCTCTAGACTCTAGTCAAAAATATCTATGTATAGATAATTTATAGAACTGGTATAAAAAATTACCTACTTTTGTAGAATAAACGATATATTATGTGCTTGGAGTTAACAAATATGGAAAAAAGGAATAATAGATTAGAGTAACGAATGAGAATTAAATGTCTGTCATATTAGTAAAAACATAATATAAAGGTGTAGAAAGTTAATCAAACATTTTTTTTTCGTATATTTTACGTCTTAACTTTTCTTTACAAATAAAAACCAACGAGAATTCTAAGTTTATCATATTATATTGTTTTATGGAAAGGATTGGAAATATAAGTAACTACTTATCTATAAGTATTACCTTTTTTTTAACACTTACCAAATGAGAACTGATGTCTTCTTCTATGTATAATTGTTATCAGATGACAAATTTACCTAGTTATTTGCTAAAAATTATATTTCTACGTTAATTTTTTTGTACCTATTGTTGTTTTAATTAAATTCCATTTATTTTTAGTAATTTATGCTATTAATTTCACGTGGACATTTTTCTATTTTTACTCTTCAAGTTTATTTAATGCAAAACACTTCATCACAGATTTACCACAAGTGATGTAAACACATATAAATATAAAGGTAATCAACTTAAATTTGATGCATGTTTTAAATTTATATTAGATCGTATTTTATTAGTTTTTGATATAGATTTAATTTTTATTCTTGTAAATTAAAAATGTGTTAAGAACAAATTATATATTTAATAATTATTAATAGCATAAGACATAGAAAATAGATGAATAACCCATTAAAAAAAATTGCATACATTTCCATTAATTTTAATTAACTACCCATTGATCACGATTTACATGATAACTTAGTACAAATTCAATATTTTTCATGTCCTTAACAAAATATTCCAAAACTATTATACGAATTGAGCTTGTTTTATATTTTACATAATATTTCAAATTTGCTTAATTTTTTTTTTTTTTTTTGTATTAAATTATGGAATAAATTTATAATTTCAAAATGTCTATTATTATTTAACATTATACTTATATTGCTTCTCAAGTATAAGCTTAGCATGTGTTGAAGAAAGTTTGAGCACGTTGCTTAAGACATTCAAGATTATACAATACAACTAATATATTAGGTTATTGAATTTTTATTTTATTCGTAAATATGGGACAAGCACAAAAAAGCAATAAGGTTAGAATATATATTATAGTGATGACCTAATTAATTGATGTAATATATTATGATAATTTATTATTAATATACCTACATACTTATACTTGAAGTTACATAAAAATGTCTGACAATATTTCATTATGTTTTGTTTTAAAATGTTTATGTTTTTTATACCAAAACTAAACCATTCAAAATAAAATAAGAGTATAGTCGTGGTCGTATCTATTTCCAATCATTCGTATTTGATAAAGTGTCGACAAATATTACTGTTTGCTCATACCCATGGGTATGAGTTTTAATAAACTGCATTTTTATTAGTACCTAGGTACTTGCATTTTAAATTTACAATGAGGTTTATTATTTTAATAAGCCTACCATAGATAACATAAACGAGAAATAAGTTTTAAATATTGTAATTGCATGATTCACGCATTGAAAATGTTGAATTCTAAATTGATTTTACTTTTTATCTCCCAGCCAGACACATTATTCATCCAGTCTTAATGTACCTACATTGTTATCGATTAAATTGTATTCCCCTCTAAGATGATTTCAAACCCCAAAATTCTTTTATTTTACTATTCGTAAAAACAACTTTATTTTAGGTCCCCTTAAAAAAACATTAATATATTTTATAATACTTTTTCTTATCTATTTTTCATGTACGTGTTAATACCTGTAATGCAGGATGTTACCAGCGATATCAACTTTGGCTAGTGGTTAATTATATTGTTTTGTTCGATTATCCTTCTAGAGTAAACAAAAATGTAATAATGTACATAACACAAAATATGATAAAATAAAATATTTTCATTTTTATTTTATCATTTTGTATACTTTCATTGTAGATAGGTATATCAT